GGGGAGGTGCGGCGCGGCGGTGGCGGCGGCAGCGGTGGCGGCGGCCGTGGCCGCAGCATTAGCCCAGAGCGTGGGGTTTCAGTAAATTCCCAGCACGCTAACTTATTGGATAACAACGCACGGGCCAAAGCAAAGTGGCTTAGGCACTCTCATTACAGGATTTGGACATTCTTTTCACTTTGCGCCCGGCTCGGCGCAGGTACAGTCGCGCGCGGCGCACAGGGCCGCTGGGCTCCCCGCCCCGACCGGCCCCACCCCGCTCCGCACTGCGCCGCGCTGCGTCGGGGCCTCCGGGGAGCCCGCCCATCCAGATCCCACAGGGGGCGGGTCAGCCCCTCTGCGATCCGCGCACTGGCGGTCGCCGGCCAAGAGCGGACACTGATCTTTCATCGCGCTCTGGGTATTCAAAACTCGCAATGCAAGAGTGAGGACTGTAGCACATGCGCCAGGATTAATTTGATTGCGTTGAAATAACCGTACACCCCAGGAAGTTTTTAAGCTCTAAATGCTACTTTATCATTGTTAATGAAGCGAGGCACTCCAAAATATCGTTTCTCTTGAATCACTTTTTTTTACTTTTTAAATTAATAAAACATTAATGTGAATAGGCTCAGTTATCATTAATCATTCCATTAAAAATACTTTTTTTGAATTCAATTCTTCAACTTAAGAAGCATGATTATCTGGTTTGTATTGAAAATTACGAAAACACATTAGTTTATGTTCAGTACCTAATAGCAATATAGTCGTTTAATTTGAAGGTAAAATGTGCTTAGGAAACTAAGAAATAAAACATTAACATTGTGAATATATCTACTCAAAATTAGTTGCTTTTATCTATTACGTATACTAGTTTAGAATAAAGGAGAACGATGAAAATGGAAATATTCTTTGCGACAACCAGCAGTCAGTATATAATAGAACCCTTAATAGATTCATATACACTCCGGGTAGGTGGGAATTGTATCTCTTGGTGCGTTCCGTAATTATACTTATCACGAATTTGCTTTTTCCCGTGCTGTTTTTGCACCTCATCTCTTGGTTCAGGGGGCGTTCTTCCCCCGGTGGCGGATCATTCTTGCTCAAACTTTTTCGCTTTTCCGCAATACTTTAGCGGCACAAAAAGCTTTTGTGCAGGAGAGCACGATTTAATTTCCTAGCAATTGCATTTGCTTCCCATTAATCGACGATATTCAAGTTACATCCAAAAATTGTTTATGGAACTTGGTTTTCAGTTTATGAAATTTGATTTTATAAAACTGAATTTTTGGACATTATTCCATAAAAATAAATGGCAATCCTTGAAATAGCTACGCATGTGCTGCCAAGTGGCACAATAGATAAAGGCATACTACTCATAAAAATATTTTTTTAAAACTGCTTTACCTTAAAATCTCAATTATCGGTTATTTTTAAAATTCCACTGTCGCGTATCACGAGCATGTGTTGACTCCGTTAGTCAACTCCACACATTCGTTATTCGGCATGTAGTGAGCAACCACTCACCGAATCTCAAGTAGTGTGGATTAGTTGCTTGCTATTTGACGAGTAACGAACATTCGATGCTCGTCCTATCCACTGCATGTCGATCTTTTCGACTCATCAGAAGGTAACATTCGCCGAACACATCAGCTGTTCAGGTGAGCATTAGCACTCTGTTCGGCGAATGCCGAATGTGTGGAGCTACGTTGAGAAGGAAGCCATCAGTGGAGGTGGAGTGATTTAAAAAATTGACCTGTCAAAGAAATTGAAAAAACTATTTGTGACGTATGGTGGAGAATAATCTGCGCACGTATGCTTGAGCTTCTGAAACGTAACGTATTTGCCTTGGTAAACGAACTACAGATTTTACTTCCTAGTATTGTCTAAATACTAGTGTAAAACGTGTGCGTGGAGAAAGCACATTTACTGTCGAGAAACAAAGCAAGGGGAACCGCATTTCATCGTGATGTCTGGGATTGGGAAGAGGCAGGTGCACGATTTGGTAGAACCTCTGAAGACTGAAATGGGGAAAAATGTGAGCACAGTCTTTTTATGCTGTATGGAAGAAACATTAAGTTATTAGTGAAAATGTATTGTCAAATGCAGATATTGATTCCACCAGGTGTCGAGCACGGACCTTCTGTTGTCCGAACAGATGCTCTATAGACTGCACCATGGAATCAAATATTGCATTCCTGCCAATTTAACCATATTGGGGCGATCATCGGTCTAATGTTGCGGTACAGTTCGCATGAAGAGTGCAGACGAATGAAACGGAAAGACACACACGCCTTCTCCATTTGTTCATCTTCACCCTTCGTGCCAATTGTACCGTTAAGGCATTCGTCATGCGGCAAACTCCTCCAAACCTGAAGGGTAAAGATTTACGACGTCCGTGACGGCGACGTCCTGGGGTTGAAGTCTTTGTTGCGACTGTAGCAGGGTTATCCGGGGGAGCGGGGGACGCTAGTCCCATCTCTCGCAGAGTGAATGTTGTGGAAGGTTGGGGTGCGCGTTTACAGAGCATTCCCACATTCATTTATATGGGGAATTGTTGAGTGATTAAGATGAAATATATTGACACATATAAAAATATTATATTCTTATAGTTTAATTTTCTCTTTAAGCCACAAGGCAGTTATTGAAACAAGTGGTCAACTACATTTCTATGCCTATTTCTCCATAATTTTTTTAATAAAAATATCTGTCTGAATTATTTAAATAAACATGTAACTATAACTTAAATGACAATCAATAAATGCAATTTGTTTTATTTTTAAATATTTACAAGGCTATTAGACGGTTTGGAGGCCCTCTTCCCAAATGTATATCAAAATCTCAAACTGTCAGGTAAAAATAAAATATGATATTTATGAAAATAAAATGTTCATTACGTCTACACTTCGGGGCTCTTTCGAAACCTTCAGGCCACCACTGCCCCCTGCCCACCCACTCCTGTGCACACGCCATTTATTTCTGTTTAGTCATTGCACTGTTCAAGGTTCTATTAAGAAAACATTAGTTTAAACAACCCATAGACCCTCTACCAGAATAAAATATAATGTTTCTACAATGCACATACGATGAATTTGTTTTAAAGTATATACGTTTGCATTAAATTAATTAGGTATTCTAATTTTTTATTAAAATTAAACGGCATCAAGTGGTTTTAACAATGAAACGGCGTTTTGATTTCAGTTTTGTATTCTTCTTCTTGGATATCAGGTTTTGGTAATTACGGATGGAAATATTTGGTTACTTGAATGGGTTTGCCTTCGAAACGTATCATTGAGGTTCCCCAGTATACGTTTTGTGTCATCAAATGTAATTATATTCATCTGAGATTTGCATGTGTTTTCTACATCTCTCTACAAAAATTAAGATTTTTTCTACATCACCTAGTACCTCAAAGAAATGTTGCAGTACCCCAATGATACGGCATAATTTGGGTTAAAAATATGTGCATTGAGGAGTGTTTCTAAAACTTGACACTAACGTCCCTAAGGTTTCTTCAACAATGTGGTAACAGATAACATGGTATTCCAAGATATAATGCACACGAGCGACAGGAGACTGTTATTCACATGGACGTTGCTGTGTGCAAGTGTGCATCAGCCTGATTCGAATGCGCCGCTTCTGGAGTCGGTGTGTCGATATGTGTGACCGTGGACGAAATTCTTTCCTCACATATTGTTAAAAGACAAATGAGAAGAGTTTACCTTAAGACATGTATGTACACTAGATTAATTTATTGATCATCTTTACTTAGAAGGGAATATTACGTGGTGCAATATACCGCGTACATTGAATTTGCGTATTTTTCATTTGGCGTTAACCATTTAATGTCAGTGAAAATAAGATAATATAATAATTATTGTAGTATAAATATCGTGCCCGTTGCACAAAGCAATGCAGTTTGCCCCTCTGCCCTGCTTCGTATTTTACGATTATTCGAGTGGCTGATTTATTGCAATCCTCACAATATACTCCGTCCAATTTCTTCAATGGAATTATCGAGTTTTTCTAAAGCCGAACTAGAAGGAATTTAAATAAATTTTGCTTGTCTATTAAAAATAATGATTTGAATGTGGAAGAGATATGGCATCTGAACAATGAGTTGAATACGACTCGTTTGTGAAATTATGAGCGGTGTACCAGAAGAAGTGGGCAAAGTGTGCCAAAGAATCTCTTGATTGGCAAACAAACAGTTTACACGTATCTCTAAAATGACTAAAGAGGTAAGAATCTTACGGGATGATACAACTGCATGGGCTATAGAAATGTATTCATATCAAACTTATTTGTTATTGTTAGGTCAAGTATACATCGTTTCTTCATTTTGTTTAAAGTGTTGAATTGCATATAACTGGGGGTGTCCCTTTTTGAAAAAGGTTTAAATTGTAGGTTGATTATGGAATTCTGTTCCGGGCCTTATGAAGAAGATGCAATGTGCGCCGAACAGAAAAATATTTTTATTGTCACGAAAAATCCTACTATCTAGTATCTTCCCCTACTTCTCTCAACGTCAGGGTAACACCGTTGTGTCTCTCTGAAGAGTGCCATGTACTTTACTGCCAAAAAAAGTATTGGTTCTCGGATTCTAGGACAAATCGTTTTCTTAGTCTAATGTATTGTCTATTGTACGCCTAGAATTCTGGTTCTGAGAAAACCAAGATTGAAAATTTGTAGAGTTGCAGTTACTCTGCTACTGAAAGACATTGGTTGCTTTCTGGAAAAAGGAATGACGCCTCTTATGTAGTCATGCAACCGTTGAACAGTAGGTATATCTAAGAGGTCTCCAAAAATTATGTTAACTCAAAAATGCCCATGAGCTAACATTCAATGTTTGTTCATTAAGCCAACGTTTCGTTGCATTTCTCTTTCACACTCTCCCCTCCAGGTGAATCCAAACGGATGGTCACAATCAAAGTACAGATTAGACAAACAATGAATTGAAGCATGATGCAACGCCATTACGCGAATAGCGCTAGTGGACTGCGCAGCGAGCCGTCACTCACCGTTGGCGTACAGCAGCTGCAGGCGGTACTGGATGCCGTTGTTGGTCTTCTGGCCCTCCGTCTCCTGCAACAACATGAGCGGAGCGGGTGAGCCGCGGAGCCGGGATGCCTGGAAGCCGGGAAGGGAGTCGGAGAGCCGGATCGGGAACTGGAGAACCGGGAAGGGAGCCGGGAAACTGAAAAGGTAGCCGGGGAATCGGGAAGGTAGCCGGTGAGCCGGATCGGGAACTGAAGAACTGGAGAACCGGGAAGGGGGCTGGGAAACCGATAAGGTAGCCGGGGAACCGGGAAGGTGGCCGGTGAGCCAGGAAGGGAATCGAAGAACCGGGAAGGGAGTCGGGGAACGGGGAAATGAGGAGCCGGGGAGCGGGAAAGCGGGTGAACGCGCGCGGGAGGTCGAACGCGCGCCAGGCGGGGCGGGCCGCGCGGGCGGCGCCGGAGCGCGGGTGATGTATGCGTGATAATGACGTGGTGACGCGGCGCGCGCGCGTCGGGCTCCGGCCGAGCCTCGAACTGTGACCCCGCGCGCATCACGCACTGGCGCGCCAGAGCCCACCGGGGTTAGGGCGTAAGCCGCAGGGCTAGCCGGCAGCCCCCACCGGCCCCCCGTCACCCCTTCGCCGCGCCCCGCCGCGCGCCGCCGCGCGCCGCCGCGCGCCGCCCCGTCAACACTGCATCAGCGCGTCACCCTACGGCGGGCACCGGCCAGGGGAGGGCGCCGCTCCCGGGCCAGAGGCCGCTCGCGCCCATGCGCCCACCTGCGTCGCTTCTGGCTAGCAGCCACCAAAGATCCTATAGTTCCCAATTCCCTAAGGGGTCTAACATATAGGGGATTTTTTTTATATTTTCTTAGTTCATTTTTCACATGTGGTGGACAATTTACGAGTTGAGTAGTTGCACTTTTATGAGAATAAAAAGTCAGCATTTTATTGATGATCTATTATCAAATACATTTTTCATTCTCTCTCGTGAACTTGGATAAGAACTCTTTTTTATCCTTGAATTGTACTATTTAAATGACGAAAAAATAACAATTAGATTTTTTAAAATGTTTTATTTTAATTATTTAAGTTACTTGTTTGAACTCGTTATGAGTTATAATAATAGAGATATACTTTTTCAAATGTTCAATTCATGCTATAAATAGGTCCTGCACAGTGTGATTGGTTAATTAATTTGTCGTTCTGAGAATAAAAACGAAGCCAGGCCATCAAAACTCTCAAATTGAATACGTATTGATGAAAAGAAGGAAGTATATTAGCTGATTTATTAAATCTCTTATTTACAAAATGCCCTAAGCCATAATTATAGTAAATTACATAAATTAAATGTTTAAAATAATTATAGATTGCAGGTAGTCGTATATTTATTTTTCTTCTCAGCGCGAGCGAATGGTCCTCGTGAAAACCTGATTTACTCCCATCTCTTTTAATATTTTAACTTGCACTAAATTCTCCTTTTTCGCCGATGCATTGTACAGCTTCCCATAAATTGAGAGGGCAGGCTTCCGCGTCGCAACGTCAGAGGGAGGCAGGGGGCAGTGGAGGAGGAACATGTGGCTCCTGCGCAATGTTCGCGAGGCGCTGGTCATCCTCCAACGCCTTCGCGCGGGTAGCTGCCACCACTACCGCTACCACTACCGCCACCAACGCCGCCGTCGCCACCCCCGCTATTGCCACCTACACTCCTGGAGCCACCACCGCTATTTCTACCTCTTGTAAAGATGCCAACGTCAGTATCGCTTAGTCCACAAACGTCACTATCACTACGGAAAACTCCACCGCCACCGCCACCGCCACCGCCACCGCCACTGTTGCAGCAATCGCCTATAACGCCCTCGTCATCACCGCTACCCCTCCCCCACCAATGTTGCAACCTTTCCTCTGCCGCTGAAGCTACTGATATAGCCATGAATGTCGGTGTTGTCATCTCGAATTGCTCGGGCCATTCACCGTGACACCCTCCCACCCAGAAGCAGGCGCAATTATTACCCAGCTACCGGCGCTATTTCCTTGTTCCTACCTGCCACCGGCCTCTTCCACCGCCCCTGGCCGCTGGCATTGTCCGCCTTCCATTACCGCTACCTCTACCACTACTGCTAGAACCAGCACTAGCGTTTCTTCATGGAGAATTAATTTATTCTGTCTCGGATCTCAGTGCGATTGTCTGCAGAAGGATAGTACGATCGTATGTGAGGTGCTTGTGGGGAGGATTTTACGTTGAATGAATCTCTTTCTCTCGTCATGAATTTTCTTTCCTTTGTCTATCCTTGTTTACTCGATCAAATTTGACTTTCTTTTCCGCTTTGTCATTAAGCGAACTGCATAATAATAGAGCAGATTAAAGTATTCTATTTACACTCGGTTTTTCTTTGCATCTGTGTAAGAGTCCAAACCATTCCTTGGTCGTTCTCACACCAACCTCTCGTCTGCACTGGAGCCACTCAGGCCATTCACCCTGACACCCTCCCACCCAGGAGCAAGCTTCGCAATTATTACCCGGCTACCGGCGCTGTTTCCTTGTTCCTACCTGCCACCGGCCTCTTCCAACGCCCCTGGCCGCTGGCATTGTCCGGCTCGCCACCCACAGTCTCCGGCCTCCAGAACCTTTCCTGCCGGGTGGGTTCTCTGCCCGGTCGCGCAGCTCTGCCCGCCCTTTCGCTTCCTGCAGCCGCCTCCACTCTCTCGTCCGCGGTCTCCGCTACCCCGGAGCGTGTTTGCGTAGCGCGGCGATGTCGGGATGGCGGCGGCGGCGGCGGCTGTGGCGGGGAAAACGGCGGCGGCGGCGGAGCGGCGGAGGCAGGAGCCGCAGTGGCTGCACGGAACGCCTGCATGATAAATGTTCTTCCCGACTCGCGCCCTAATCTTGTGCATCGGCACCAACACAATTACCGCCGCCGCTCCGGACCCGGCGCCGCCACCCCGCGCGAAAACGCTCTTTATGCAAACCAGCCCTGTCCGAGAACGGCGGCGACGGTGGCAGTGGCAGTGGCGATGGCAACGGCAACGACGGATGAGAAAGGGCGGAGGCCGCTGGGCGGCTGTGACATGGAAGTAGCATAGATGGTAAGGGTGTGAGTGGGAATTATCAGATGCAGTCTTCAACGGATACTGAAGGAAAGGGGCGGGTTAATAAATGTAGTGGCAGCATAGGTGTTGGCGATATCGGTCTTGATGATATTGCTGACGCAGAAGGAATACAATGGTTTTCTAAAACCTTTTCGTGCCATGCGGAGTGGTAATGAAGATTATTTACAACAATGGTGGATACGAAATAAATTGTTTCTGAGATAATAGAATCGGAGGGGATATCGGAGTAGTATATTTGAAAATTAACGATGACTGAGATGAAATATACGGGAATCATAGGATATGAGGCGACAACTGGAACGGACAAAAAGGACAATACAACTCAAGAGACCGGATCAATAAATAACGCGAGAGTTCCAAGACAAATGGTTGAAAAGGCGTTTGTTGCACACCAAGAAAAACAAAAAGTGTTTCAACAGGGAACAAATTCGAATGCCACGGTCTGTGAACCTGTCACGAAGTGAAGTGTCACTAGCATCCAGTGGCCGCCGGCGGAGCAGGGAGTAGTGAACCCGTGGGAGCAGCAACTGCGGCAAGGGGTGAATCGTTGGCGTAGTAACGGCAGACACGTCGGGAGTAGTGGCAGGCGTGTCGGAGGCAGCGGGTAGTTGGAGCGGCCAAGCGCGCCGGCTCGGCAGCCAGGCTGGCAGCGGGGGCCGCGGTTGCGCGGGCGGCAGCGGGACACGGCCAAGCGTGCGGGTGGTCAACGACGCGGTCTCCTAGCCCGCGGCGACGCTGGCCACGCGAACTGCGACTGTGGCGGCGGCGGCGGCGGCGGCGGCAGAGGGCTAAATGTTTACATGTTGA